CGTCACGTACTTTTGTTCCCAATCCACCGCAGTCAAGCTAATTCAAGATGGCGGATTCAACGAGGTTATTGTGCTCAAAATCTGCGGTATTCATTTTAAACATTTTATTCTGTATTTTTTTTCGTCCTGACTCAACCTCAGCAGATTCAGAAGTCCTTGAGGAATACTCTCTTTCGGACGTCACAAGAACTGTAAACGAAAGATGCATTTTACTTGCACTGCGTCCTAGTAAAGACGACGATAACTTCGTTTCTATTCTTCGAAAACTATCTAGGGCTTTCAGGAATGAAAATCGTGCGAAAGTTGGAGTTTTAAAACAAACAGATGTGAGCTTGATTAGCTGGGAACAATTAAAGGGGCAAGATATGGTTGAACAAGACGATCTGGCGTTTTTTCCGCGCAAAATGGAAGATAGATCTTGTCTTTTGAAACCCAGCTGGGAAAAACCTCCTAAAGCCCAGCCATATCTAGGATCAAGAACTGTTCAGGAGTTACTTGCATTTATGAACAAAAAGTGTCAAACCTTCAGGCAGCTGGATGGAAGTTTATCGCCTGCTGGCTTTGCAAAGGAAAAAATATTAGATAATTTATATCGAGTTCCCAGTAGTCAGGACCGAAGTCAGCTGGGTTCAAATTCTGGACCCATTAACATAGCCTCTGAATGTGAGAGGATTCCAATGCCATCTAAAGAAAACTTTTTTCAGGAGTATTTTTTGAGATCGAAACCAGTTGTTATCACAGGTAGGATGACTTTGCAGCGTATTTATCAAAAAACAGATACAAAGGAACTGCCAGAAATATTGCCTGTCAATTAAGCCAAATTATGATCACCTCACTACCCTTTGCTGAGGAGATTTCATGAGTGAGATGTCTGCAGTTTGGTGCTTTTTTTATCACAGGCTACCCATCTGGATGGAGAAATTAGTTTGATAAGTTGTACAATATTCAGGTAAATTGGCGGTTATGTTGGGTCAACAAATCACTCTGTAGACTGCTTACAGTCTGCCTTTTCTCATGAAATCCATTCATTTCTTAATATTGTCATAGCCAGTTTGATTGCAAACAATGACACAAATAAAGATGCATTATGACAATAAGGGATTACAGTCAAGCCAGGTCAAGTGTACCCCACAAGATTCCATTATTGAATTTATTGTTCAAAAGCTGAACCATTGGTAGTTGTAGATTTCAGATTCATCTCTGCATTCTTGTAATGTATGTGTAATGAGCCTTGAATTCACACGCGAGGCAGTTATTAAATTTCTACCAGTTCAGTTTCCCTGCATTGATGTAGATGTAGACCTTCGAAGCAAAATTCATCCACTCAAAGATTTTCAATTATCTGACCAAACACAGAGAAGTTCTCGTAAAATATTCACTGCGCATTACGCATGCAGGAATGCCGATTCATGAATTTGACACCAGTTACGGGAACAACCAACATTTATCATTTCATTTATCAAAAAATCAGGTCATTAATTAAAGAATCTTGTGGGGTTCGCTTGACCTGCCTTGACTGTAAGATGAGACCAAAAAAGATCGACTGCAGACTCTTTTGTAGCAAACCACCCCTCCATCATTTCAGAAATGGAGTAGTCGATCGGTCAATTTTACTGTATTCACAGATCATTGACTAGACAGTGGGAAGTCTGGTGTGAGATAGCAAGCAGAAAATTAAAATAGCCACGCATCACAACTAACTACAAAATTAGTGGTAATTGCATATTAGAAGGAAACTGCTGTAATTTCCTTAACAGAAATTAGGAAGTAAAGGCAATCTTACAGGATTTAAGAAGTGTAATTTGTCAATTGTTTATGCTCTATTTATAAATCGGTCAAGTTACTCGGTTTTATTGGTTAACAAAAACACCTTGAGAGCTTTGTTGTCCCTAGATAGAACAAAAGAGTCAGGAGTCTCTTATTTTTTCTTCTTGGGCTTATGCCCTAATTTATTATAGCTAATGATTGCCACTCACTCAGCTCACCCGCATTGGCTATGCATGAAGCAACTTTGCAAATTAACCCTTTAAGCCTTAAGGGTGATCAGCATCAAATTTCTCCTTGTAATTTCATTGCTTTGTAAAACAGAGTGGTCATGAAAATTACAGACATGATCACACAAGAGGAATTTAATTTAATTTTTGCTTTATATTTTATCAACTTCTCCCACTACTTCTGCTGGAAATGAATAGGGGGAAACAAATGAGAATTCAAATTTTGATCCTTGGGTTTAAAGGTTTAAAGAAAACTAAGGAGCTGTTCCCAGTCTATAGTCACACTGTTGCTTTTTCATTATTTATTTATTAACTTTTGTTTACTCTCTATAGGTGCCTTAAACAACTGGCCAGCTATGAAAAAGTGGACTAGTGAATTTCTGGCAACAAAATTTGGAAGCAAGATGGTTCGAGTAGCCTTTGCCCCATATGGTGAATATGAAGGATGTGAAAAGGCCGAAAACTTTGATGATTTTAAGGAATTTAAGTTTCCTGATGCTGTCAAATCCCAGCTGCAGTTTCCAGATTTAGTGGTTGTTCGCCCTGCATTTCGCGAAATTGCTTTCTCCACCTTCATGAAGATACTGCAGTCTTCAAATAATAGTGACATCTCTGCATATTTAGAGTATTCATCAATCCCTAGTCTCTTACCAGAACTTGAGCTAGACATTAAAGAAATGCCTTTTGTTACTGGTGAATTAAAGAGGAGACATCTGAACATTTGGCTCAGTAATGGTAATACCTTGGGCAAGCTGCATTTTGATCCTTTTGATAATTTTCTTTGTCAGGTGAGTACAAATGCAGTCAATTCTGACAACTTT